AAAAAGGAAGTCATCTTTCTCGGTTAAGTCGAATACTAAAAATATTCGATAAATCAAATTTTCCTAGAAGAATCTTCAAATATATTTTGTTTTGATCTACTAGAGGCCGAGGAGTAATTAAATTTGCTGAACACCAACAATTGAACCAGGCTTTAATTATCACTGTTTAGCAGAAACAGTTGAATGGGCTGGCTTTATGGGAGATTTTATAGCTTTCTCTATATTAAATGTGATTACGAGCTAGTTTCCTCAAGAAAGTCCTTCGGGAAGGCGTTCTCACCCTTAGTCAGTCCTCGCGTGCTTTGTCCTGCGTAAGCGAAGAGCAAAAGTATTTTTTTTATAAACGAAATCTGCGAACAGGCTGCTTCCATGGTTGGTTTTAATGTTTTTCCTCACGTGTAACCGTGAATAAGAGCCCATTTACCTTTGAAAGTCGTCCATGAAGACAGTCCTCCTCTTAGGAATATAATACTTTTGTGCTTTGTCCTATTTACATAATCTAAGGAATAAAAATGAAATCATATCTATTTTCGAAACTATGTGTGTAATGGCCCGAATTATCTTTGTAGGCACCTTAAACTCGTGTACCCATGCTATTCTGGATCATTCAGTAATCTCCGCAAACAGCTGCACACTTCATATCTCGAGTATATAAAAATATGTTTTACAGAAAATTGTATTTACTTTAGAAAGGCAACTTACATTTCTAATTTGAACAAAAATGAGTTCATATTTTCGACATTCTTCATTATTTTAAAGAGAGTTAGTTTACTGCTTTTAAAAAGTACCTTTTTCAGGTCTATTCATAAAAATATTCATAATATGTTGCATTTTGATTGCTAATTTAAATTAAACAGCATCAAAATCAGACAGAAATTTATCTTACAATAACGAAAATGCGTTAGGAAACATTACAATTTGCTTCCAGTCTGACATTTCGTAACTAGTTGGGGAATGCAAACGAAGTTTGTTTAAGCCTTTTCACACTATTTTTGTACATTGATCCACAGCTAATTCGGCAAGAATTTACTGAATGTTTTTGAATGGACTATCTGCGTGAGGGAATCTGCTTTCGTGAAGGATATTTTAAGGGAAGCTTCTCGTATTTACGACATAACGAAAATCACGAAAGCCAGCTCATTCGGCAGGATTCATGTCCAGGTGTATCCTATCAATTCTACCCATATGTCCTATCAGTGTTCAACGACATTACAGCTCGGCTAGTGGGTAGATTTTGAAGAGTTAAAAAAAAAACTGTTTTTTCCCTGTTTTCTGTTCTTTTCATTATGGTCAGTTCTGTACTTTTTATAGCGTTTTTTTAAGTCAAACAGTTTAATATACAATTAGGAACTATTTTCTAATATTTTTCACAAATCTTATAGTGCAAAGAAAAAAAATTGCAGTGATATTTTGCCCTATCTTGGGACATTTAATTTCCTTTACAGGTTGTGAGGAATTTAACTATGGATAACTTCAAACAAAATTAAGGTGTTGCACCCTTTTTATGGTCGCCTTGAATGCTATTAAGTGTACTTTTACTGAACTAACCTCATATTATTTGCTTCAAAAATGTCTTGAAACTAAAATTTAGAATATTAAAAATCTTCAATTCCATTTGCTTTTAAATACTCCTCCAAAATTCCTGAATATTTCCAAAAATATTGCAAATATTGTCATAGGATTTCCTATACTGTGGTATTTTAAGTGGTTGCATAATATAATAATAAAGGAGCAATTAACACGACTCTCTCCTTTCTAATTATCAAACCCTACGCAACAAATGCCTACAAAATAATACTAAGACTTCCGGAAATTTTTTTAATAAAAAAATTAAAAACTAGTTATTATAATGATTAAATGTTACATTTCAAGTTGCAGTGACACTACATTTTCTGAAAGCCTAATCGTTAAAAATTCAAAAAAAAAAAAAAAAAAAAAAAAAAAAAAAAAAAAAAAAAAAACATTTGAAACGTTGCTTGTAATTAAGTATTATGACAATATTTCTGACTGAGCAAATATTTTCATAATAGTAGGGCACCCTCCCTCTTTTGCTGAAGCAGAAATTCAGTTTTAAATCTTCTTTCTGTATATTCAATTCGTAGATTCATTTACAATTTTTCGTTGCCAGGAAACTGAAAGAATTTGCTTTGCTTTCGCCGGGGGTTCAAACTCCGAATACGCGTCGAGCGTGCTTCCAGTTACACCATGAAGGCATGCGGAAATAAGAGAGGTACTACCTTGTAAATTCAACGCACAGAAAATATTTTGGCGCTGTTAAAAGATAATCATTATTATCTATACATGATGCATATTTATATGTAAATTATAAGCTTTATAAAATTTTTGCATCTGTGAAAGATCTGTAAGTCCCTCATCTCCTGTGGCTTTCCCTTACCTAACATATTCAAGGTTTAAGTATAGTAATAATAATAACAATATATTATTATTATTATGCACACAGTATGTACATTATAATGTAATAATAATATACATTACTATTGTGTATATTACAGTATATACATGTATAAATATGTATGTGTATGTTTGTGTACATATAAAGATTATAAATTAAAATAATATGCGTATGTTTAAGAATTTATTTCTATTTTAGAACACACAAAAGGCGAAGAAATTTTGAAACAAGAATTTGTTTTGTATAAACTGAAAATAACGGGAAATTTATTTTTGGTGCGCAACTTATATATACTTGTGTTATCACTGTATTTATCAACAAAGGATATATCCGCGTAGGCGTTTATCAGTGTGGGTTTTTATTCATATGAGAAGGTATGACTGCGCGGTTTCTTCTGTAGGCTTTTCTCGTATGGACTTCCGTTTAGTGGGTATTCATCTGGTCACCGACAAAAATTACTTATGATCTGCTTTAATTTTAATAGATGTTCAACATCATAAACATATGTAATTTTCTGCAGTATACTGCAAACGTTTGCTGTAAAAGAAAGAAATATTTATTGATTAATAAATGTAAGACGCGTTCTCCAGCACTGATTTAATTTTCCTTATTGTTAGCTATATGCAACATTTATACTAATTTTTCAACTTATAATTATAACCGTTAATTACAAGCTTTAAGTTGAAGAAAGAAATTATAACCGGTAATTATTGGCTATAATTATGTTTCAATTACTTTTAACTTACATCAAATGAGCTAAAAAAGCAATCATGTTTTGGAATTAATTTGGAAATTTTTCCGCACTTTCAAAGCTGTGTGGTTATTCTGGATTCTGTGTAAAATTATTTGAATAAAATTAATTTAAAATAAATGAGAAATTTTTGTAAAACATTTTCATTTATCTTAGCAAATATGAATCATTTTCATAAAGCTTGTGCACCACCCGTTCAAGATGGATTAAAATACCTTTCTTCAAAAATTGCTGTGATTTATGTACATATGTATATTTATGAAAAGAGAAGAACCTATTTTAGAAAAGTTTATTATAACAGTAAATGTAAAATTAAATTATGAACATTGTAAAAAGAAAGCATTCTCGTTTGTAAACATTCTCCGTACTATACATATACACTCACTTCCAAAAGTTAATCACGAAGAAATAAAATGCAAAAAAATCAACAAATACTGCTTTGATTGACACAAAATTCGGCAGGAAAGTAGCATATATATTTATGCATAAAACAAAATCAATAATTATATACAGAAATCAAAACAATATTAAATTTTTGTAAGTTATCAGATAATGACACACTGGAGACTTAATATTAGATAACAGAATTATGTATAATGTGAAAATAAACAGCATAAAATTTTAAAAAAAGGACATTAATAGGGTATGTAATCCCCCCCTCATCGGTATACAAAGTTTACGCCTTGTGACCATGCTTTCAATTAGGTGGTCAACCACCGCAGAATTAAGCAATCACCATTCTTCTTGTAGAGCAGTTTCCAGCTCAATAAGAGTGGCTGGAGGTACAAAACGTAAAGATACAGCACGGCCGAGAGCATCCCAAAGATTTTCATTGGGATTAAGGTCGGACGAATGAATATGCTGGCCACGTCATACGCGCAATCCGTTCACTCTCCAGGTAGTCATCGACGATTGTCAGCCTCTATGGGAACGTGCGTTATTCGTCCAATTAAAACAAAAGTAGGGCCAAGCTGCTGCAGCGTACAATCTCACAATGCGTTCTAGGCCTTCATCTTGATACCGGACAGCCATCAAAGAACCCCATTTAAAGATGTGCAGGTCGGTGCGGTATCCTAATGAAATTCCCTGCCCACATCATAATGCTTCCGCCTCGGAATGTGCGATTTTCGGTGATGTTTTGGGACTTGATTTGCGTGTTCGTTGTTCACACGTCATATCCTTTTACACTTATCATTCTGGCTCCAGAGCAAATCTTGACTCATCAGTAAGCATGAGATTGCCCCAAGTCAGACACATTCCAACTGATATGTTCCCGGCACCACTGTAATCGTGCCCCTCTTGACTGGACAAATAAGATAGAAACACAAACTCAAGGTACCCGGGCATACAGTCCTTTTCATATGTAATCTTCGGCGTACAGTAGCTGCCATTATCGCCTTACCAATGGACGCTGTAACCATTGACATCACACGTATGGGGAGGTGGCTCTGTGATTTCCGCTTGGCTACAATAGCAATATATCGATCTTCCGCGGGGGTGGTAACCCTTGGGCGACCGGCTACGGGCCTTCGGACAACTGTCTGTGTGGTTTTAAATTGTTTCCATAAACATGAAATTACAGAATGATGAACGCCGAAGAAAAGAGTAACATCTATGACCGACTGCCCTGCTTCAATGCACCCAACAGCATGCCAGCGCTCAGAATCTTCCATTCGTCTTCTGGAAGTCATAGAAATACGTATGCCTTGAAAACAAATTGTACGAAAGTTTTAAAAACCTTCTATCAGCACTTACAATCAACTTCTGTAACCCTTCATAAAGCTGGCTTCTTATAAAACTGCCTTTTTTGCATATTTCTTGACATGAAAGCACGATTGGCTGTTACCTAACATATTTGCATACTTCCATCTACCTCTGCAGCGAATTGCATCCTCTACACTTCTGATTGGCTTCCGGAAATTAGCATTTTCCTCTCCGTGCTTAACTTTTGGAAGTGAGTGCATATAATACAAAAAAGTCATCCTGGTTCGTTTAGTTCGTATGAGATTTCAATGCCACACGAATCGGGCGATCAGAGCTCCCCAGAAACTCTCTGAAAAATGGAGTAGTTTAATCTGTTGAATGGAAAAAATGTGATTAAGTTTAAAAATATAAAAAATTATTAATATTTCTAATAAACTTGAATCAAAGAATACTAATATTACCCATTGTAGAGAAATATTATTTCTCTATCTTTTTTCCAAATAAATGAGGATCCTAAGGCAAACTTCTTCAATTTTTTTTCCTCATCGGAAATCTTCTCAATGGATGGATTTATTCTCGTCACAGCAACTGGCAAATCAAAAATTTTAATTAAATTTTAAAATTATGCATTTATTATTTTTGAGATTTTTGACAATATACATACATTTTATAACATTAATGTTAGCTGGTTCATCAAAGTCATGGAGACATGTGTTATAGAAGGAATTTTACAGCTGCTAGTCATAGGCAAAATGTAATGATAATAAACAGTAAAATTTCAGACAAATATACAGTTCGTAAAATATAACGTTAAGTAACAAATGAAAAACGTTTCTGAAGCAAATCGGATCAAATAACACCATAAATTTGTGGCGGTCTTTCCTTTTCTGAAACAACTTAAGTGTGGAGGAACCTAGTGAACAGCTAAGCGAATAATCGCTTAAGTCCAGTAACAGAAACCTAAAGCTCAGGGTTAATTACCCTTTATTGCTCAAAATAAAGAATAAAAGTCGGCTCTTTTCTCAGGGCGTACAGTAAAGCCTCCACTTGAGCTTAAACGCAAAAGAAATAAGAACTTAACTAATGCTTAACTAAAGTGATGTAGTCGAAGATAACATAAATCTAACTAGTTAGCCCCTAAATATCGAATTAGCTAGCAAAGCTATTAAGGGCCTGTAATACGGCCGAGCGTAGTTACAGCTTAGAGAGACGTGGCAAAAGGCAAACGCTCGTAATCAGAAACTCTGATGCTCTCTCTCGAAGGCAGTGGAACTTAAATATTACTCCTGCTCATTTGCATTAAACGCGATTCTAAAAACGCATTCTGGTAGGAAAGTTTAAGCTAAAATTAGGATAGATAGGAAAGGAGCTTAAAAATAGCTGTTAAAAATTAAGATAAATCTTACAAATTATTAGAAGAAAATTTCGAAATTAAGAGCATAAATTACATTTATATCATCAAAATAATATACAATTCATGCAGACTTCAAATTCATAGAAATTGGATATGTAAAATGAATATTTGGTGCAAACTTATGTAGAACTCATATTATTAAGCTATAAAATAATCAGTTAAATATATATATGTAATAAAATTTTGTGTGCATACATTTTTCATCCTAAAGATAAGTATAAGCAATACTCACCTCCACCTTTATATACTTATTTTAAGATAAATATGAATTATGTATAGTTTATAAAAACACTAGTTTATAAAAAATAACTTTCAAATAATACGTAGTCCAGTCACATTAACGTGACCACCACCTATTTCGACGTCAAGATGAAATAACCAGTCACAGAAGGGCAGGTGGAAGCCCACTACAGTTAAGCGTATGTAAAGGGTGTTCGAGAGAAGCAGAATACATTACACTCTTTGTCGTAATATAGAAACGGAGAGATTTATCTGACGTCCAAAAGGGCATGATCATTGGCTTTCGGGCCAAGAGAGGAAACATTTCCGAAACGGGGCTAATTTTGTAAACTGTTCAAGTGCCCCTGTGGTAAAAATATACTATGCATGGCAAAATGACACTATCCAAAATCAGCGACGTGGCAAAATGTGGGGCACCACTGGCCACAGATGACAGAACCATGTGAACCAAGGGGCTACCGACAGTGTCTCCTTAACGACAGTTCAGAGAATATTGCTGCGTATGGACCTTTGCAGCAGACGCCTGGTTAAAGCACCTATGCTGACTGCAGTTAATCGGAGACGAAGGCTGGAATTTTCACGCCAGTACCGTAACTGGACGTCCACTGAGTGGCGACAGGTGGCCTTTTCCGATAAATCATGTTTTATGCTCCATCGGACAGATGGATGTTGGACGCTGGAAGGGTTCAAGTTGGAAGAGGGAGCATTATCGTCTGGGGAATGTTTTCGTGGCATTATCTGGGTCTCTCTTTCGTGGCATTCATTGTAGAAGACACGATGGATCAACAGAAATACGCATCTGCCCTTGCAGACCATATCCACCCCTGCATGCGAATTGTTTTTCCTCAGAATGATGTCATCCACCAGCAGAACAATGCGAGTGTCATACAGCTCGCAGTGTACTTGCGTGGTTCTAAGAGCACCAGGATGAACTTAGCGTACTCCCCTGGCCAGCAAACTCTTAGGAATTAAACCGTCACCATCGGAATAACAAGGCCTCCCTTCTGCTGCGAGTGACGTCACTAGAAGGAGGACTAGTAGGCATAACAAACCGTCACGGCTCTTTCGGTGGTAACGTACAAGTATGCTTGTAGTTTTAGCGGGAGATTTGCATATTGCATAAAAGATTTAATAATATTTCATTTGTTAATAATCTGATGAAGAATGGTTTATATTTGTTGTGTTCCTAACTGCAGAGGAAACTATCCAAACACTGAAAAAGTACAGATGTTTTCTATACCCAAATCGGATTCGTTGCGCAGAAAATGGCTCCGTGCAATTCACCAGCAGAATTTCATCCCATTAAAACATTCTAAGCTATGTACAATGAATTTTTTAAACTTATGATTTTTTTAATTAAAAAAAATAATTCGTGCGTTTAAAAAACATTTATTTCTCAATCAAAAATTAGCTCTTATTGTTGCTTGTTTGATACTGATTAAACTTCTATACCTGATATTGTTATTATATACTTAATTTGAATTCTATAAAATCTGAAATTAATTACGCTGACACATAAATCAACAAATAATACAGCAGTTAGTCATTAATTCTAAAGCATTTAAATCTGTAATGAAATCTAGTGAGATATTAATTAAAGTATAACATTTAAGTTAATATTAGGTAAGCAAAACTTCATGAAACTTTCTAAAATATCAGCTGAATTTCAGTATATGTACTGGAATGATGTGTATTACATAATGTGTGTGTTTTTTCCAGTACATAATGTGTAGAATATGTGTTGAAGTACTAGGTAGCTGAATTCTAGCTAGCATTTTCCAGGTTCCAAAATTTATTTCTGAATGGAAATCTAACATATTGAATGGAAATCTGTATTTGCATTTTACATTTAAATTATTTGTAAGATTTTTCTTATGAATCTACATTAATACTCAATACTGAATTTTTCATCCTTTTTAGGTTTGTGAAAAACATTTTGTCGAATCAGATACTGAAAGAGCAGTCGAACATTTTGATGAGAACAAAGGAACTTCAGTAAAAATTAATTTGATTCGTCCAAGGCTTCGAAAGGATGCTGTACCTTCAAAACTGCTTGGCTGTCCAAAATATTTATTAGATAAATCTTCAACCTCAAGACAAAGTGCCGATGATAGAAGAGTTCGAATTGATAGAAACGATATACAGATTGCACTTGCTGCAAGCCTAACCAGTAAGGAAATTTACGACAGAAAAAACTCGTTTCTGAATTTTTACCGTGCATAAAATCTGAGAATGTTCCTGATGCTTGGACAGTTATTTTCAAAAAAAGAAGGTAAAGTTGTTTTTCTTATTATTGATACTGAGTCTGTACCGATTATTGAAGCTTCAGTAGTAGTGGCAGAAAATTTAATGTGTCATGTTTTTATTGGTAAATCAGAATTTAAAAATAATAGATAAGGAAGCGTTTCCTAAATTAATATATAATATAAATAGGTTTTTTTTAAGTTTTAAACTTTGTATTAAATATTTTTAAACCACAAAATGAAAATTTATTTTCCATTGTTATAAAAACAGCTATTACTCTATTGAAAACTGTTAAGAATGATAATAGTGATAAACAGCAAACTGTAGAATTCATTACAGAACAACTTTCCAATCTTATTTGTAAAAAGGAACGCATGCGTTATTCATCACATATATATTTTTTCTTCGTTATTTTATATTCCATTTCTCCCCATGCGGATAAATTTTTTAGAAGTTCATGCAATATCATTATGCCACATCCAAGAACAATTTACAGAATATTTTCTGGATTTAATGCTAATCCCATTAAAGAGCAGTCTGATGAAAACTTCTTATCTTTCATAAAACAAAAGCAGATGGCTTGAATTCAGAAGACCTTATAACTACATTAATGTTGGATGAAATACGCATAAAACCATACATAGACTATAAGGGAGGAAATGTTGTTGGTATTGGCATATAACAGTGATAGTGTTGCAAATACAGCATATGTATTCATGATACAAAGTTTATTATCATCATTTAAAGAAACTGTACACATACTGCCCATTAAAAGAATCAAAGCTAAAGACCTTTTTTCAGTTTTAAAGAAAACAATAATTGGTTTACATAGTTTAGGGTGTTGTGTGTGTTGTCAGTGATAATAATGCTATAAACAGAAAAGCAATGTCTTTTTTTTTCTTCCACACCCTAATTAAGTATTGTTTATCAACACCCATGCAATAAAAGTGATCCTTTGTTTTTTATCATCGATTCTGTTCATATCTTTAAAAGTATAAGAAATAACTGATTGAATCAAAACATTTTAAACAAGCATTTTATTATCCTGATTTTGATGATTTTGAGAAATTACCATTACCCACTGCCTCATTTAAATCACTAAAACAGCTTTATAAAATTGAGTCAAATGCTTTAGTAAAACATGCGTATGGATTATCCTTAAAATCACTCAACCATTCAAACTTGGAAAGACAAAATGTCAAACTTGTTAACAGTATCTTTAACAATTATGTTATTGTTGCTCTTTCTACCATTGGCAAGGAGAATAATAATTTAAATTATGCTAGCACAGCCATTTTCATAAAACTAATTTATAACTGGTGGAATATTGTCAATGTTAAAACACTTTTGAAAGGTCAGATGCTAAATGATCCATTGCAAATGCCAATATTGCCTAATAATTCTTTGAATGAAAAGTTTTTAAAAAGATTTCTGTTCTAGTTAGATGTTTGGAAAGCTTACGCTTCCACAACTGGGACCTTTACAAAAGAAACGCATTTATCTGTTTCTCACACCACACATGAGCTATTAGTATTGTTTTCATGAGTTAGGATTTAAATATTTCCTGGCGGGAAAGATACAGACAGATGCATTAGAAGAGCGATTTAGTAAATATCGGATACTTGCTAGATCTCAATACCTAATATCAGTACGACAAATTTTTGAAAGTGAATCAAAATTAAGAATGTAA